TGTTGAATAACCAAATGAAAGTGTTTCATAACCCGGGTAAATTACGATAAATGAGGTTTCCTAATAATAATCTATGTTTGATATCTAACTCACTTAATTTGAGAAATACCACTTCAATCAAAGTCAACCTTGAATTCAAGGTCATTTTTGTGCACAGCTTTGAATGTTCGTATTGTTGTCGCTATAATGAAGGAAGCAGCGCTCAAAACCAAAAGTTCCCGTTATCTCAGTGGAGAGGACAGAAACCGAATTGCACGAGCCCACAAGCTGGGATTTTCGATATCAAATCTTGCCCAATGCTTTAACGTTAACAAAAGCACAATTTACAGGATAATCCATGGGAAAACCACAACCAGAACCGCTTGCGGAGGCCATAAACCGAGTACATCTAAACAGGAGGACGACCTGATTCGTATCGATTTTGCCCGAGAATTCAAATCTCGTCGTGCGTCATTTTGGCGATCGGTTTATTTCGCCGACGAGTGTATGGTGTGCAACGAGCCTTGGAAGGTTCACAAAAAGTCATTTGTGGTGAGAATTTCCCAACAGGACTTATTTCACCAAATGAAAGAGTTTCTCGCCAGTCGAAATTACTCATTTGGGCAGGAATAAAACATGGTCAGCCTTGTCGCTGGACATCAGTCAAAGGAACCATGAATAGTGGGAAATTTGTATCAGTAATTACGAAAATGTTTACAGAATTTCATGAAAAAATATCATCTGGAAAAGTTATCGTTTTTCAGGATAACGCTCCGTGTCATGTTTCACGAGAGGTTAGTAAATTGATTTAGTTAAGGAGTCTGAATAACTTATTATTTGCTTTTAGACTTCTGAAAAGATGCGTGACTCCAAGGTTCAGTTCATGCAACTCCCTCCTAATAGCCCGGATCTAAACGTGGTTGAAAATCTGTTTTCTGTTTTGAAGAGAGGTCAATGAGCTACCTACACATTGGACATTGGAGGCAAAAGTGCGATAAGTAATGGAGCACAAAATAGAAAATGACTTCATAACAAAGTTGGTGGATTCCATGCCGAAGAGACTCGAAAAAGTCCTAAAGAACAAGGGCAGACCAATCGATTATTAGTGTACATAAATTTTAGGTCCTAGTTATTATCAATGTTAATTTGTTGTACATAAAATCTGTTCTATTCCCTTAAATAACCTCCTAACTAGTCATGCTCTAGGTCAACCACTACTGATGAAATGGAAGTATCTTGTACATTCTGAGTTATTCCATCTGCTGAGCATAAACGAATCAGGAAAACCAATGCTATTAAGACTCATCAAGGCTTGTTTATTATTATTTGGAAAAAAATTTACCCTAGTACAAACACTGTTGCCTATACGAACACACAAGTGTTTCACAGGGACCTGTTGCTTCAGTTTCGATTAGACCTGTATATTGTATCCTGTCGGAGCTTTATCTGAGCAATTTACAGTTGTTCTTGAGCAGATAAAAGTGTCTTGTGCAGACGCATTTAGATTGCTTCCGTTTTGGCAGCATTTCGTAAAACTTTAGTTTTGTCTAGGGATATGGTCTTACTGTTTTCAGACGTGTTTGTGAAAACTTCCCATTAATTGAATGGTTGTCTGTCTCGTGCCCATCTCCGTGCCAATATGTTTCTAAGACCGATTGCATCCTATCACACTGATTTCACGTTTCTGAGTGACTGCAACTTCTTTCAATGTTATTTCTAGGTCAGGTAGCCTCCTTCCTTAATCGCTAAGCATTTTAAAAATTGCTGCAAATCATTTTGGAACATGCTGACAGTGATGGCGATTAGAGAACTAGTGTATCCGAGCTCTAACGTTCCATGTGCGAGTTCTGTCACCGCGGCAACCTAGGCGGGGGGGGGGGCAGTTTCCGTCTCAGGCGACTAAAATGGGTCTATTCAATTGAGCTTAAGTGACTCGTCACACCGAATCCCCAGCTAAACGTCCCGCATCTAATCACTGGATCTTACAACCTTTAAGATCAATCCGTCTGTTGTTGTTCATCACACTGGGTACCCATTGGATAGGAATTGCCATCCGATTTGCAAAGATGAACCCGAATTCGCATCTGACTGTCCCACTCACCCCGGTCTTGAATGTCACAGTACATACTCTCATTTACCGTGAGTTTATATATACCAGGATTGGATCAGAGAATAGTACACTTGAATCCATGCACAAATACTTTACGCTTTTTTCCCTTTCACTATCCCGAAGCTGCTTACTATATCCGTTTTATCATTTTAAATCGGTTATAGGCAAGTATGGATTTGCATGATTTGACTTGCCAACAATATCAGTATTGTTGCCTACAGCCACGGCTCACAATACCGATCAGTGTTTCCCGTATGAGGTTCATTGCCCGTGCTGCATCTCCAACGAAATAAGGCAACTCACATTCTGTCGAACTGTATGCTTTGGATCCGATCTAAACAAGCCAGGTTATTCATGATGTATTGTGAATTCGGAACAAAAACTGTCGGTCTCAAAGCGTAAACTCATTTATCACTACCGGAAATATGTATTCTCAACGCGGATTTTAACAGTTCTCACAAGCCGCTTGCCATTCAGCGTTCTCCTATTAATTAGTTTACGATCGCACGAGCTCTCTGGTTTGTGCGTGAGTTGCTCACTATCAACTATCAGTTTTCTTTTCAAAAACTCATCTGCGACGTTATCTACCACACGCCGATTCATTCCACCTTGTCCCATCTCGCGTGACGCACATTCTACGCAGCAAGAACAACGTAGATTCCGTTGTTGCATATTTTGACCGTGTTTGTGCGAGGACCAAACACTGGTCTAGAATAAGATGACAAAAAGGTTGTTCGTTCTCGGTCCGGGTAGGATGATCTCCAAGAAAGTCACTTTGCTGGTAATGCAAAACTTATTTTGACTTCATTGCACACTACTGTGTGATTAGCACTAGATGAGGTAAATCACGAGGAACTACTTATGATGATCGGTATCTCAAGTCCTAGGACTTGGAGCAGTGAACCACATAAGAACCCAGTAGGATAGGCGTGGTATTGAGCTAAAGCACATTGACAGTATGCCTAAAGTTGCTCGAATCGGTTTCGTCTGCGTAGATCCGCATTTATGGCACGGTCTACCATGACTCGATGAATACGAACGAAAACGAATATACTTGTTTCACCGTGAATAATTTTCATGGATACGCACTGATTTTGCATGTTTTTTGAATGGTTACGGCTACTGTACAAAATGCTCGTTTCTCTTTACGAGGATACTAACACTGCACTCAAAATACACTTCTCTCGTTCGATTTCACCATACTCATCTTTGGTCGTTCCTTCGTATCTACCAACAGGAATCACTTTGTCTTCAAGCAAAGCCATCAATCAGAATTATATGAACTTATCAGATGAGCCTCTGATTTCTCTTAAGCTGCACAGAGCGGTTACCATGGTCAATAACACATTTTAAACTTATTATTTTTATATAAAAGGCCGAAGTGTGAATGAATCTCCACATTTTACATTGTTAGTCAAACAATGAGAACCCGCACCATTCTACCTACCTGCCCACAACTGTGTTCGCAATTTTGATAATACAAGAAGACTAAATTAGTGCAGTTAGATGAGTCTTATCGAGGCCTTACACATGTCAAACGAATCGACATGGCACCAAAATTCGTTCATGAAGCCGATTTATCAGAAAGGTTTGTCTGACGGGATAACATGAGGGTCAACAAACTTTAGTCGGGATATTGCCTACTTTGTCGCTAGCCTTCCGTAGTAGTTTGGATTCAGCAATCTGTGGATTGAATATATATAGTGTAGGAGATACTGCGGTTCGGCGGAAATAGAAATACGCTCTTTTGTAATCTTCCGCCTATCATATAAGGTCGATTGCTGTGATATGTAATGAATCAAGGTCGACTGAGAATCGCTCACGTGAATCCTGTGATAATCTGATTGCGTATCGTTGTACATCAAAAATTGTGAGCTCAATTCGATTGTATTGGATTGAAGCTTTTGTGAGTTATATACTAGCTCTCAGTCGAAAAAAAATAGACCGCTGTCATAATTCTGGTAGAAAGATGAAAATGTGGAACGTAAAACGTGCAAACATGAGTTAACTACAAATTGCATTAGAAAGTTGAGAACGGATACTTTCTTTGTTGGTTTGATAGTATTATGTGAGTCAGTTGGATGAACTGGTGTTGTCGTTTTTCGACTCACAGCGTAAAAAGACAAGTATGGTAGTGAAAGATTTGGGTAAAACCCTAATCGGATTTCTAGCGTGGGGAAGAATTTCAATTGATGCAAACTTGAAAAACGACTTTTGGGAAATGCTCAAGACCGAGATATGGAAAAACAACCGTGAAAGTTAGTTGATAGGCGATCTCGAAACATTCCGAGATCTTGGTTGATGCATAGGGGAGGGGGGAATCGTATTCAATCGTGAAGAACAGTAGCCCCAACACAATCCCTCATTTGTCCAAGTGCCAACAGTCCTCATACTACCGATGAGATTCTCATACGATTCTTACCGCCACCCAACCTTTTTATATCCGCATCAAATAGCAATCTTTTGGTTCAGCACTTCTGGTTTCTGAAAACGAATGGTACAGTCATCCACTCAATAAAAACAAGATCCATGATGAACAATAATCCTCCCCATCGATTATACTGTTCGGTCTGCATGCGAGTAGTTCGCTCTTTAGGGCTCCGTCCATATGTACTTAGTATTGCTAATAAGTTGGAGTATCTTTTACTATCTTTCACTGTGCTCTTCGAACTACTCGACTTTCGATTATACGGAGCATCAAATTTCAGTTGCTCATATTTTCATGAAATTTCGAAAGGGATGGGCATATTACTATTTTAGTGTCTGTCACGTGGCTAACTATGCAGTGTGCAAACACCACTTTTCATATCACACATGGGTTTCCTCTAAAAAAGCTTGGTTATGTTGATTTCATCCTGAGATTTTATTTGTTATCTTGTTGTATCTACTTTGCACGCGAACTGAAAACTCAATGGTGTCTTCATCTCTTCCGCTTCAACCAATCAGTTTAGCCATGGTGGCCACGGAGTTCTTGGGTTATATTCAGTCTTTCTCGGTCTCCAATTATGTGGGTTTCGAGGATTTGGCCGACCGAGCTAACTTCCAATGGAATGTGATTGTACTGCTAATCTGTATGATTCTGGTGACACTGCGTCAATACTTTATGACACCTTTAGTGTGTTATTTACCGACCACCGTCAGCGGAGTGAATGCGGATTCGTATATTACCAATTTGTGCTGGATAGAAGGCACCTTTCCCATCAATCTAACTTCTGGTGTGGTCCCACACAAAGGCACTGATTGGGACGCTCTGAAGCCAATGCAAATGAGTAAGTCCGGCTCTATATTTTCTTTATCCACTTTACATGAGCTGCACAAGCTTGTTATTCCAGCCATCTTTGTCGAGAATTCAACGTAGCAAACAATCTGAAACACATCTACGTGACAAGATCACAGAGAACAGCTGTTACGTTCCCGTTCAGAGTTAATCCGAGTACCTTTGATGCACAGTTACAATATGCAGGTCTCTTGCTTACGGGTCCCTGTTGTCTCCAAGATTGTTGTGGTTATCATGTTCAATAAAACGTACGAATAGCTGCTTCATCTCTTTCAGAACCCATTCCAGACGAGCTTTTTTTGTCCGATATTCTTCTAGATGTTAAAATCACGTTGGGAACTGAGGTTCATTATTAAGTGTAACAATCCTGCGGATTGAAGTCGATGCCTAACGGAGGCGTTCTGCACGCCTGCATATTTGTGTGCATTAAACTAACTAGCTTCATTCACCACCACGAAATAGGAAGCACTTCACATTATTTATTTGTCGAATTCATGAGTATGGTCTGTGTATTGTATCCAACTAAAACTCACGTTGATTGTTTGTGATTTCCCGCTCGTAGTCCAGTCAGATAGAATACGGAGTTTTTCGGTTTGTCAGACTTTGCTTGACATGAGATACTATACCTTTTTAGCTTCATGTAAATCCGCCGTAACCAACCAATCGCACTCCATTGAAAACCCCACAAGATGACTGGCGTTTTGGCCATCAAATGTCACCGATTGGACCGGGTCTGTCGAAATCCCGTCCAGTCCGAATGAAGTAACTTCTCGGTAAACAAACAAATGTTCCATTTCGCCTGTTCGCCGAGCTTGGCAATTTGTTTGCAAACGTTTAATCACCAGTGGCCACTTCACAAGCACTGATGATGTCACCTCGGCTGATGATGAAAC